TATATATATATATTCATATAAAATGGTTTAATTGGAGTCACCCCAGCCAGATTAGCTAAGATGAGGTGAACAAATTATATCAAATGTTGGAGAGAATGCAGGAGAAGGGGAACACTCATTCAACTGCTTGTGGAATTGCAAACTCATGCATCCACTATGGAAAGCAGTGTGGAGAACTCTTTTTAAAAATCAAAATTAATCTACCATGTCATCCAATTATAGCACTCCTTGGCATATACCAAAGGACTCATCTTACTGCACAGATACCTGGGCATCCATGCTTATTGATGCTCTTTTCACAACAGCTAAGAAGTGGAAGCAACCTAAGCTCCCTCAACTCAGGAATGGATAATAAAAATGTGATGCATTTACACAATGGAGTTCTAGTCAGTGGTAAAGAAAGACAAAATCATGAAATTTGCAGGTAAATGGATGGAACTAGAAACTGTTATATTAACTGAAATAACATAGATTCAGAAAAATAAACAATGTATGGTCTTCTTCATCTGTTAATCTTAGCACCAAATCTTTATATGTGACTGTATATGCTGCTGTAACTGCGGGAGCCAGGAAAATGGAAAGAAATAATGAAGATAAAGGGAAAGAAGGAGTCTAAGAGAAAGGGATAGTAGGAGACAGATGTTGCCAAGGGTGAAATCAGTAAAATGGGGGTATTTAACTAGGAGAGGAAGCAAGAGGGTTATACGGGAGCCATGGGGATAAAGGGGAAAAAGGAGCTCAAGAGAGGGAGTATAATAGGAGACAGGTATTATCAAGGCAGCAATGGGAAAATTATGGGTACTTTAACTGTGGAAGGAAGAGAGTTAGACAGAGAGAAAAAGAGGAGAGATAAATAATCTCTGGTGAAAAAACAGAGAGAAATGTGTTAGTTCAAAGGCCTACTGAAAAATGTACATACAGTATCTGTACACGAGTGTGTACGTATGGCTGAAGGCAACAGACACACTGCCAGACAGGAGAAACCGCCCTTCGAGTTGTTGGTCAGCATAGTCCAGGAGACTCCCAAAATTACAGAGGCTATTGCCACAGCCCTTGATTATCTCCCAGAACTTGAAAGGAGGACCCTTTTGCTGAAGACAGGACATACTTTGGACACGGGACTTGGAGCAATGGAATTGGAACTGACCTGGAAGCTTTCTCCCTGAAGACTGGCTCTCATAGTCTTGGAGGACACTATGCACACTGCTAATGGAGGAAAATCAATGATCCAACCCCAACTTGAAAGTCTAATAACCACAACAATGACCGGCACAGCAAACTATACTGGAACAGTAGTGGCACTTTTATCTTATGGGTAATCAACAGCTATCTAACTAGACTTAAAGCCTACTCAGTGGGAGGGAACCCATGTGCGGCACTGTAAACATACTCAAATATACATGGAGAAGTCATAGATCTTAGAGAAAACCCTAATGTTGCCACATTCCTAGACAAACATAATTTCTTACTATATGCTAAATATGGATCCTTATATTTACAGACAAGTATGTCAGTGGTGACTTATCAAAGAAGCTTCCTTTGCAAAAGGCAGAGACTATTGCAGAGTTCCACAACTGGTCAGTCACACAGAAAAAGTGTCTGTGAGATTGCCAATTCCAAGTGATACATCAACAATGGAACCTCTTCACCTAAGCCCCACAGAACACAGTGGAACAAGAGGTAGAGAGAACACTAATGCATCGCTTAATCTCATCAAAAAAGTTTCCTCATGTAACAGAGGGCAATGAACACAAAAGGCCACAACTGGCCCAAGTGTAGAGAATAAGAGACTGCAGAGTGTGGGTCCCTGGACAGGACTCCTATCTTAAACATCTCCCACGCAGAGTTCAGGAACCATTGTGGAAGAGGGGGCAGAAAGATTGTAAGAGCCAGGGAAAGAGGTGCATGACTATAAGGAAACAGAGTCTTACAGGTTCCTGCAACCTTTCTTATATGAATTTATAGCAATGGTGATAGCATGCACAAGACCTATGCAAACTCAATCAAACAAAACCAGCATATAACCAGGGAAATTGGAAGGAGGTTTCAACTTTCGTGAAGAACTATTGGCAGCTGATCACTGCTGGGTAACAGAGAGTTGATCTTTTTTAAAGGAGTGACACTAGACAGGCTGAACAGGCTCCAGTGGATGAACTCATACTGAGGAACATCTTGGTTCACATATTTGACTCAATAAGCCTTAACATATATAACAAAATGCATGAAATTCTGTGGGTGGCCTATGGGGGAG